ACAATAATATTAAACTGATTCGAAGCATCATTATCAGTGATTGTAAATCAGGAGTGGTAAGATAAGAGGGACAGCAAAATAAAAATGATGAGTTTGTGTGAAGACAAGAAGATTAAGAAGACAGCAAAAACAGGGATAGGGAAATTTGGGTGAAGTTTCAAGACACTAAGAATGAAAATACACTGGTACCATAGTGAGGAGAATGGCTAAGAGGCATTTGTAGAGAAGACAGCAAAGGTTTAGGACAGTAGTATTCAATGTGGAAGAACAAACAGAGGCAGTAGAAAGTGAAGGCTTATCGGAGGGTTAAAAGGATAGATTGAAGTGGAACCTGGAACTGACGGCCTTGCTCTTTAGGTAGGACAAGCGATGAGTGCCTCAGGGAGAGGACAGGAGCCACTTTCAGTGGTCTAGCTTTTAGTTATGCTGAGGATACTGATATATTCATTTTGGTTAAAGTCACAAATTGGAAGGTCCTTTTCCAAAGGGAAGAACGTCTGCAGTACAGGAGGGGTTGGAAAGATAAGATAGTTATTGAGTTACTGGGTCAGGGAATGGGTCACAGCTTGACTTTATTGCTCAATGATTCATTCTCTTCAGGCAATGTATGTTTCTCTATCATGTCTGGATTTTATGATGATCAGCACTCACAATTCAGTAATATTCCCTTGTGGTCCCAACCATCCCCTTTCTGTTTCAGCGCACTCTGAGACCTCTGACTTTAATTCTGGACTGCCACCTACTGTCTTCTCTCTGTTACTCATTTACTACTGAGGCTAGTTGAGAAGGCAATGGCCTAATGGTATTATCGCTGGACTGTTAATCCAGGTAATATTGTAGGGACCTGGGTTCGAATTCCCCCACGGCAACTGATGGAATTTAAATTCAACAAATATCTGGAATTAAGAGTCTCATGATGACCATGAACTCATTGTCAGTTGTCAGAAAAAACCCATCAGGTTCACTAACGTCCTTTAGGGAAGAAAACTGCCATCCTTACCTGGTCTGGCCTACATGTGACTCCAGACCCACAGCAATGTGGGTTGACTCATAACTGCCCTTTGGACAATTAGGGATGGTCAATAATTGCTGGCCTAGCCAGCAACACCCTCATCCCGTGAATGAATAGAAAGAAAAAGAACAATTGCTGCCTTTTCACAAGCACAATGCCAACTGGTCTCTCACAGACCTTCCCTGCTCAGTGCACTTGTTGCGTCTGAAGTTGTTAAACTTATCTCGATCGCAATTCTCAATTCTAACTCAGCGGATCCTGCTGACAATTACCACAACCTTCTCTGCACCTTCCTTAAAATTTCCATTTACTCATCATCGAGACCCTACCAAAAATTCAGTACAGATAATTATATCATTAGAATCCTGGCTGAGGAATGATGGCACCTTTGTTCTAAATAAACCTTTCTTACCTGATTACACCACTTGCCCTGTCCTGAACATTGCAGGGGTGGTGCATAACTCTTTCCATCAACTCACACCTTGGTCTAACGCCACCTGGTACTTTCTCCTCTTTCTCACTTCTCTTTTGACATCTTCATTCTCATGGCACGCCCAAGTTCAACATAAATGTTCTCGTTTAGATATCCTCACTCTTTTCCTCCTTTTACAGTTTCTCCACCAAGAGGTTCTTGTACAGGCAGATTTCAAACTCCATACAACACATTATCTTTTCTCTCCTCTGAGTTCACTGCTGTCCTATCCTTCTCTGCAAGTAAACTCTCCAAACCATAGGTGTGCGCTTTACTTTGCCATCTCATGTCACCTTGCTACTTTAATTGTACTAATGAAAGATAAGGTATCTCTGCTCTCATTCTTATATTACATTTCCCTCCTTTTACATTACCTTCTCTTATGGCTTTATTTTCTTTTGTGTCTGCCTCTGGAAAAGACTCTTTTAATGCACTGACAGTTGTACCATCAAAATCCCAACTGTGTTGCCTTTAGCCCTCCATTTACCACATCTACCAATCTACTTAACCACGTCCTCTCACCACCTTCAATACTTTAGTTCCAAGTAAAACACAAACTGCGTTAGCCCAGTTTTTTCCCTTCACTTTCTTAAGTCTTCCACCATCATCCAGCTGGATTGAATTGCTGTCACCTAGCTTCATTCCTATCTATCCAGTTGTAACCAGAGAATTAACTACAATGGCTTTTCCTCTCAATCCATGTTAACTCTGGAGTCACACAATGATTGACCTTCAGCCCTCTTCTGTTTCTTATCTGCGCAGTACCCTTTAGTGACAACATTTGATAACATGGCATCAGTTTTTGCATGTAAGCTAACTACACACAACTCTACCTTGCTGCTATCTTTCAATTCCTTTTCTGTCTCTAAGTTCTCATACTGATGCCTGAGAAATGGATGAGCAGAAATTTCCTCAAAGTAAATATTGGGAAGACTGAAGGCATTGTCTTTCCAATGGCAGCTATCTATGGTTGAGCCAGACTTTGGTTTGCAACATTTGTATCATATTTGATCATGCAATGAGGTACCATCCACACATCCAGGCCATTAACATGACTTTCTGCTTCTATCTTGATAACATCGGCTGGCACAGATCAGCTTCTGAAACACACATCCACACTTGTGCAGGGCTAGATCACTCCAAATCATTGCTGGTGCTTACCAGCCTCAGAACCAATTCTCACCGCTTCTGAGCATTCAGCTAAGGCAGGAACATCACCGAAACACAGCGCTACACAACCACTGACATTCCGCATTCTCTCTTGTAGGACAAAATGTCCCCTAATCATTAATATTGGAGCAGAATCAGTAGGATACAAGGATGCTCACATCTCCTGAGCTCTTTGCTTCTTGGGGTCAGCTGTGACAGGGCTGGTAGATTCTGATATCTGAGAACTTGGAGGACTTGGTGCTCTGTCTCAACTCCGAGTACCCTCCTATCCCGTTAGCTGGCATGATGAATGACCTTCAGATGGTGTGACAATAAACCTTTCAATGCCAGCTCACCTCCCTCACTTTAACCTCATTCCTCTGAGTTCCTACTTTCAGAAACCCAAAGACTGCCCACCATAGCAGCCCAAAGAGGACGAGAGAAGTGCAACTGAAGGAGGGGGTCCTCTGTCACATGATATTGATGCTCAGAGCAGATCAGGCACATAAATGCCCATCAAATATTATAGTGTGCTCCTGGAAAGTGCGATTTTAAGTGAAATGATATTAAATGAATCAAATTTTTCCATCATAACTGATTTAAAAGCTAAAGCGAGGCCTGTAGGATTTTTCTAATCAGAAAAGCATATTATACGCTATAAGCTGAAATATTTTGCATGGCTGAATTCTTTGAAAATGATTTTAAACAAAAGGAAATATGCCAATTCGTTCTTGTTGCTTTCCATCTTTCTCACATGCTGACCCTCTCACTCTTCTCTGATTGTGCTCACCAAAAATATCCAGTCACTGCTTCGTAGGCACCAACAACCCTCCAGCCCCACTCTCAGCTCTTTCCTCTCCTGAACCTTTGCTCCAAGCGATGGCTTGGGAGATTAGCAGCGAGAGGCAGGAAGAGCAGCTTAGGACTGATGCCATCTCAGGGTTTTGCAGGGCTGTGGAGTGGAGGTAAATTACTGGCTAGAAAAGGTGGTGAGAGAGCATCAGCAGCAGCTGGCAGGTCAAAGGTAAGGGGGTAACTGGAACGCTCAGGGAGGGAGGGAGTGTGGGTTGGTGGCCAAACAAAAGACTGTCAGTAGGGAAGGCTGGTGAGAGAGTGGGTGAATAGGCCAGAGAGCAGAGAGGAGAAGCTAGGGCAGTGAGACAGAGAGAGCATCAGGGGGAGGGAGGACAGGTCAGTGAGGGGAGGGAAGTTTGACGTGCCAAATTGGAAAAGGCTGCTCCAAAAGGTGAAAACCTAGTAATGTGACCGTGCATTGACCATATGCGAAGTGACGCTAGAGTGAAATTCCTGGCAGTATATGCCAGGCCCTATCATAAAATGGAGTGACTTAAATTTAACTACCTGCACCTTGGATGCAAATAGGCTTAGGGATCAACATATGGTGGGTCACATGACCATGAACGGACTGCAACCAGGCCAGAGGTCAAGGATGATCTGAGGTCACAGATGAGATGGGGGATGAATACAGAGATAAAAACAGAAGTTGCTGGAAAAGCTCAGCAGTTCTGAGAAAGGGTCACCGGACCCGAAACGTTAATTGTGATTTTTCTTCACAGATGCTGCCAGACCTGCTGAGCTTTTCCAGCAACTTCTGTTTCTGTTCCTGATTTAGAGCATCTGCAGTTCTTTCAGTTTTTGTGAATACAGAGATATCTAGCTGTATTAGCTGAACTGCCAGGCAGCCTTTGTTTCTGGCAAGGTCTGGCTTTAAATCAACAGAACAAGCTAATAGTGACCCCAAAGCAAACCCCAAAGTGCAGCAAATGCAAGCCCCCATACCAACCCCCATGAATCCTCGTGTCACCCCCAGTGAAAGGATACAGTGACAATTTTGGGCACATCCAGCAGATAATACCCACAGAAAAGGTCTTGAATGCTGATGTTATTTTCTAATATTTGCTTTGTAGGAATTCTCAGGTGAAAATACCTCTTTACTAACCAGAGAAAGCACTCATTAAGAAGCTGTATTGGTATTTTCAGCAGGATTCAAACTCATTGCCCTTGGATCTACAGGTTTTTTTTTACAAAATATAGGGGAAAGGGCCAAACCTTGAAAACTAGCTTTAGTCTCCAACACAAACCTGAAGCAGCCCAGTTGGTGTCAGATACAATATGGCAAGATATTAATTAGATACAATTTGAACTGCACAGTAATCAATATGTATTGACATTCTTAATAGATCACAGAATTGTCACAGGTGAATAAAAATAACTGAACAGTGTGGCAGTGCTGGAATACAAAGTTCCTGGGATCAGAGACCTTCTGTTTCATCACAAAGAATACAGATTGCTTGCACAAGAGTTTCAAAGGAGCAAATGTTCACTTCATTATAAACTTATTGTCCTTTAAACCACTTCTTCATGTTCAACGTTCACCTCGAGCACAGGCTTTGATGATTCTTTAAGATAAATTACATCTTCAAGGTTTTCCTCATTTTCATTGAGTTCTTCAGGAATAGACGGCTGTAAACTCTCTGGATCAGAGTTGCTTCTTACATACCCCGGTAAAGTCAGATGGCTGTTTTCCTGTTTAACCTCGTTCTTAAGTAACTTTCGAGTTAATAACGATGTGCGTGCATTGACCTGTGCCTGGCTGGAGGTACTGTTGGTCAGGTTGGTTAACGCTGAGGCATATCGATAAGTCCCACAGTTCGCCTTCCCATTCCAGTCTAAGGAAAGGTGCCACCTTGTCCATGTCTTTTTGATTTCAGTATGAACCTTTAGTAAATAGATAATACTCAATTATATTAAACCAAATCAATTCTTATTTTTAACTGCAACTAGAGCCTTCAATCATAATAATTTGAAGAAACTTCAAAAAGTCTATAAAAGGCGCAAAAAGGTTTTAATAATCTTCATACAGTTATAACAGCGTTGATTTTATAGTGGAGTTATTTGGTAGCATTAAAATGAATGAATCGTACAATCATTACACAAATTTTTGCACACACACTGATTTCAAATTACAGGATCTGGATTCAGAAACTCAATTCAGATCGGAAGCAAAAGAGGTGGGAGAGTTGCATTACTGGTTAGAAGCATATCACAGCTGTTTTGAGGGATGACACCCTGGAAGGATCTTGCAGCGAGGCATTATGAGTACATCACAGGAATAGGGAGGGTGCATTCACAGACCTCCCAGCTGCCAGCAGGAGATAGAGGAAGAGATATGTAGTGAGATTCCGGAAAGCTATGAAAGTAACAGGGTTGTTGTGGTGGGTGATTTTAACTTCCCCATTTATTGCAGAGGGTTTGGAAAGGGAAAAATTTGTTAGGTGCATCCAGGACGGTTTTCTGGAATGGTATGTGGATAGTCAAATGAGAAAGGGAACCACTCTGGACCTGGTATTGGGAAATGAGCTCAGCCAGGTGATCAAAGTTTCAGTGGGGGAGCATTTTGAGAATAGTGATCATAATTCCGTAAGTTTTCAGATTCTTATGGATAAGGAAAGAGTGGACATCTGATGAAGATGTTAAATTGGGGAAAAGCCAAATATAACTGAATTAGGCAAGAACTGGAGAATGTGGATTGGAAGCAACTGTTTAAGGGTATATCCACATCTGACATGTGGAGTCTTTTAAAAACCAGTTGATTAGAGTGCAGGACAGGCATGTTCCTGTGGAAACAAAAGACAGGAATGGCAGAATTCAAGACGCTTGGATGATAGGGGAAGTAATCAGCGTAGTCAAAAAAGAGCATACCTAAGGTCTAGCCAACTAAAAACAGATGAAACCCTTGAAGAATACAGAGTATGTAGGAAGGAGCTCAAATGGGGAATAAGGAGGGCTAAAAAGGTCCATGAAATTTTCCTTGGCCAGCAGGATTAAGAAGAATCCCAACGCATTTTATATGTATATTAGGAGAAAGAGGGTAGCTGGGGAAAGAGTGGACCCATTCAAGGATAAAGGAGGGAGGTTATGTGTCGAGCCAGAGGAAATGGGTGAGATTGTTAAAGAACATTTTACATCAGTATTCACCAAAGAGAGGGACAAGAGAGATGTTGAGGTTAGGGAAAAGTGTATGAATACTCTCGGGTAGGTCAGTAGAATGAAGGAGGAAGTGGTCAGTATCTTGAAATGCATCAAGGTAGACAAGTCCCCAGGTTTAGGTGGGATCTACTGTGGGAGGCAAGGGAGGAAATAGTTAGGGCCTTAACAAACATATTTGCATCATCTTTGGCCTCAGGTTCTCGAGGAATGGAGAATAGCCAATATTGTTCTTTTTTTAAAAGGGGACAAAGAAATAATCCAGGTAATTATAGGCGAGTGAGCAAATTGTTAGTGATGGGGAAACTGTTGGAGAAGATACTGAGAGACAGGATATATTCACATTTGGAAGCGAATGGATTTGTTAGTGATAGGTAGCATGGGTTTGTGTGGGGAAGGTCATGTCTCACCAACTTGATTGAATTTTTTGAGGAGGTAACGAGAATGACTGGTGAGGGAAGGGCAGTGGATGTTGTCTACATGGGCTTTAGTAAGGCATTTGGTAAGGTACCTCATGGTAAGCTGATACAAAAGGTAAGGTCTCATGAGATCTAGGGATCAATACTGGGACCTTTGTTGTTTGTAATATATACAAACAATCTGGATGAAAATGTAGATGATCTGATCAGTAAGTTTGTGGATGACACCAAAATTGGCAAAGTTGCAGATATTGAGGAGGATTGTCAAAAAATATAGCCCAATAAAGATAGATTGCAGCTTTGGGCAGAGAAATGGCAGATGGAATTTAATCCGGACAAATGTGACATGATACATTTTGGAATATCAAATTCAGTTGCAAATTATATAATAAATGGCAGAACCCATAGGAGCATTGGCATACAGAGGGATCGAGTTTTACAGGCCCACAGTGCCTGAAAGTGGAGAGATAAGATGGTCAAAAAGGCATACAGCATGCTTGCCTTCATCAGCTGGGGCATCAAATATAAAAGCTGGCAAGTTATGTTACAGCTGTATAAAGCTTTAGTTAGACTACATTTGGAATGTTGCACGCATTTCAGGTTGCCATACTATCAGAATGACGTGGATGCTTTGGAGAGGGTGCAGAGAAGATTTATCAGGACATTGCCTGGTCTGGAGGGTTGTAGGTGTGAGGAGAGGTTGGGTAAACTTGGATTGTTTTCACTGGAAAGACAGAGGCTGAGGAGCAACCTGATAGCTTTCTACAAAATTATGAGAGGCATAGATAGAGTGGATACTCAGAAGTTGTTTTCCCAGGGTAGAAAGATCACCTACAAGAGGGCACAGGCTCAAGGTAAGAGGCAGAAATTTTTGGGGAGAAGTGCAGGGAAAATTTTTCACACAGAGGATGGTGGGTGTTTGGAATGCACTGCCTCTGGTGGAAGCAGGCGCATTATCAATATTTAAGGCGTATCTTGATAGACACATGAACGGGAAGTGAACAGAGGGATAGAAACTGCACTTGGGCAATAAGTAGGAGGTCTAAATAAGGACTAGGAATCAATGCAGGCTTGGTGGTGGACCAAAGGGCTTGTTCCTGCACTGTACTGTTGTTTGATTAAATTCACCAGCAATTCAAACCTGTGAAGGACACTTGAACTGAACTGCATTACATCGTTCAACATCTACCAAGTGAGTTAGACAAAACAAGGAAATGGGCAGAGCATTTGTGGATGAAGTTTAACAAGGACAAGTGCAGATATGACATGTAGGAGCATATAAAAGAAAAATGCAAAGACTTCATGAATGGCTGTGAATGAGCGAAGAATGCATTCAAAAATGATCTCAGGTTTTGATAAATTCAAAATTCAAAGTGTCCAGTCATGGTGGAGTCATGATCAATGAAATAAACAGTGTTGTGTTGAATTTATCCAAAAAATAGAGATTACAATTTCCGCAGAAATCACACTGAAACAGTGCAATACTCTGAGTAGACAACAGAAGTCACCAAAGAGATGAGTATTGTGACCAGTTCAGAGAAGAATCATTGGACTTATTCCCATGATTATCAGATTCAGTTAGGCAAAAAGACACAAAAAATGCATACTTCCCAGAATTGAAAGGAATTTACTTAGAAATACACTTAGCATTAAAAACTCAACAATTTAAGACTTGTAGAAGACCATAAAAGGTACATAGGAACAGGAGTAAACCACTTTATCTATTGAGCCCCTTCTGCCATTTTATGAGTTTATTGTAGATTTCTGGCCTAACTTCACATAACTGCAGAAGGGCTCTTGACCTGAAACATTAACTGTGCCTCTCTCTCCATCGATACCACCTGACCTGCTGAGTATTTCCAGCATCTTGCTTTAATTTCATATTTTCAGCATCAATAGTATTTTACAATTTCAGGGGGAGGTTCTAAACTTCACTCAAAATATCTGGCTCTAATTTTTAGACTGGATCCTCCGATCTAAGGCATCCGATCTGTGATCCTTCATGTCTCAAAAACTTCAAGCAAATCATATCTTAGCCTTTTAAACGCCACTGAATAGAATCACAGATTTGTGTTATTGATACAAAAGTAAGATGCCTTGGATTATGGAAATCTGAAATAAAAATGAAGTACCAGAAATACTCAGGAGGACAGGCAGTGTGTATGGAGAATTTTTCAAGAGATAAGTATATTTTGTCTGATCTGGGTCAGAAGTAGGGTTTCTATTGCAGATCAGACGACTTGGGCTAACATCACTGTTGCCAACTTCCAAGGATTTCATGTTGCTCTCGAATATCCTATTTGTCTTCATATAATTGTCAACGTTGGTAGTGATTTTGATAAACCTTGTGTGTTTCTTTACATTTTCCATTATTATAGCTCTTATCTTACTGCCACTCTTCGATGTTCTTTGTATCATTTCAACTTACCAGAATCTGTGGGAATTTTCTTGCATGTTAAATGTTTTTTTTTACAGTTTTATGTTGTCATGTACCTCTATTGATGTCTAAGGCTGTCTCTTATGGTAGGTAAAGCCTCTGCCCTTTAGAGCTCTAAGTTTGTTTGTGTCTCATTAAGTTCTAGAAAAAGAATACTTTTATTCTTATACTTGTATATAACATTTTAAATACAGAATATATTTCAAATTAAATCACGACTGTTGGAACAGATTATAAACATAAAAAAAAAGTTTTGGACTGGTTCCTCGCACAGTGATCAACATACTTTTTGTGTAGAATATGAGGCATTAATCTGTAATCCTTGGAAACAATCAGATGAAGGGAGCAAGACACTCCTTAGATGGATAAATTATTTTGGGCCAAATGATCCATAGTCATTCTATAATAATTTGAACTACTTTGGCAATTAAAATTTCTGCTGTTAAGATTTAATAAGGTATATCTTTCAGCCTTTCTGAAGCTTTGGTTTCAAGGCAGCATGACTTGTGATCTCTTCGCTGATCTCATTTTAATTCCAGACTTAAACATCTGTCCTCCTTTTAGACCAGCTTCAAGCTTTTTCGTGCACCTAAGCTATCATTCTCATTAATTATTCTCTGCGGTTCATGTAACCTATTTCTTGGATTTTTGCATCCATCAATTTTCAAATATTCCAATCCATCTTAAATATGCTTCTCTGTAACTTCATGCGAACACAGGTATTATGTTGCAACTTCCTAACTTTCTGTTCTATTTATGCCAAATATCCCCTGCAATGTCACTTCAAATGATTAAAGCAAGAATGAGATGGTCTCATTCTTCTGACTGTTTTGTGAAGTTCAAGCACATTGTCAGACAAGTTGAACGTTTGATGCTTCCATTGTAAGCGTAGGTGAGGGGAAACTAAGAGTTTCTGCTGCTAAAATATATGAGCAATTCAATCTCGGTGAGTAGTTTTTCAAAGTAGAAGAATGGCTTACCTCTCCATTGCAGAAGCAATAGATAATCGCAACAAATAATCCCTGAAAGGAACAGGTATATTCGGAAAGAGATAAAATGTGTGACATGGTTAAAGCAGTCAAAAATTGAAACAGCAAAGCAATTTAAAAATCCAATTTTAAAACAAGATTTATGGAAATTTGAACTGTGCACAGTCATTGCTTTAGTATTCAGAATAGTTATATATTTTCTCAGGCAATAAAACGCCATGCCCTGTGGTAAATTTGTCTTTCCACTGATTGAAAATTTCCAAAAAATAAAGAGCTACAGTAATTTCTACATGGGAATATTGAGAAAATAGACAAATTAAAACTGGTGTCCTTTCTTATTTGGAAATTGAAGTAGCAGACTATCAATTCAGGAACATTCTGCAACAAAGACTACTTCTTATTAGATCCTCCTGCTCCAGCACCATTTCCTCAAGGGAGGAACGCTATTCCTATGCATAAATGTGGACAGGGAGAAGTAAATCTGAAAATTAGAAGTGGTCCATTCAGGAGGAAAACCAGAAGTCATTTTTCACTACAGTAGAAATGTGGAACTCTCTCCTCCTAAGATAATGTGTACACTGGACAACTGTTGTTCTCTTAACTGTTGTTAGTCAAAGGTATCCAGGGAATAACTGATGTGGGATGTATTCCCTAAATGTAAAAACTGCTACAATTCTACTTGTGAAATTTGCTTGTAAATCCTCAATTTGAAATGTTTGTGTAATATTTACAAATTTTCTGAATGAATTAAGTTTTGGAAAAAAATAGACACAAGGAAATGTAGCTGGGGTCCAATGGGGCATGATCTAATTTAATGGAATAACAAGGTCAAGGAACAAATGGCCTACTCCAATTCCTAATGCCACGTTTCTGGTAAGGATGAGGTAATGGAGTGCAAGCATATTCCTAGGAAATCTCCAGCTAAGGGCTCCTCAATCTCCAGTGTCTGTTCAGAGCATGTCTCAAGGCTCCATAGTTACTAATTCTGTTTGGTATATAAGTCATAAAAGAAATACTTCCTCTGTTTGTCATCATGAGGACGTTTATAATTTTGCTACAGAATAGCACACATTGTAAATCTTTTGAAACAAACAGCATATTTGCACATAAAATTAGATTATTAATCCATATATTCAGACTAGATAACGCAATCTGAACAGAATACTGGGTATGCATTTGCAGTCTTTTCTTCTAATATAGTACAGTCTGGAAACAGTACTTCCTATTTCATGTGTATCTCCCATTTCTATGATAAATGATGACTTTACATGTCTTAGAGCAGCACATACAATTTTTACTGACATTTTCCAGGATAGCAAGAATCAATGTCCACGTACAGAGCTTTTATCTACTAGTACATTTAAATCTAGTTGGATCTCAGTAAAGCTACCATGTTCAAATGCAGTAACTCTTGTTAAACTAATTTTATTTTCACCTTTCCAACTGTGAGGGTCGTAGTGAGGACAATATAACAAATCCTCCAGCTGTTAAAATATACTACACACTCTCCATTTAATTAAAAACAAACTTATACATTAAAATAGAAAATGGTATACATATATAAATTCCCAGAATACAGCATGACTTATCAAACATCAACATCTGAGATTTGGAAGATGACAAATTTGTTGCTACTGTAACCTCAACTGAAGAATATATGACTAATGCTTTCAGAGTAAGTTACATGTTTTTACAAAAAAATTCTTAACATCAGTATGTGTTTAACAAAAATGAGTGAGCCCTGTGAGTGAACAGTCCTGGGAACTGTCCACTTCCAACTGAAAATCAATTCATAAATGTGCATCTGAAATTCCTTTGTGTGTTTAAACTAGGAAAGGTAGGGTTCCTGAGTTTTGAGGACCCATTTTCAAAACAGGAGGATGAAGAATGGCATGGTGGATGTAATATTTGGAACTAGATTGGCTGCTCTGGTTGAACATATCACGGGAACTTTCAATCTCTTTACTTCCCATCCCTCCAAATGCTCTCCCCCATCCACCCCCACACCTACAAACATTCCAGACAGTCAAAGATCCTGTTTTGCCCTTCTGCAATTTTCCAATCGACAAAAATGTTAAAAGTCATTATTTGTTTTTGCCTTGGTCATTTTTCTTCCTGTCAACTGATGGCAATGTACATATAATAACTTTATAGATCTGGGTTTTGTGATAGTAATAATGGCACAACCAATTAGTAAGGGAATCAACGGTTACAGGGGAAGGCAGGAAAATGGAATTGAGAAATATATCAGCCATGATTGAATGTCTGAGCAGATTCAATAGGCTGAATGGCTTAATTCTGCTCCTATATCTTATGGTCATTTGGTTTACCTTCATTACACCTCTGCAATCGAGCAACTTCTGGAATCTACATTTGTAGTGTTGATGGAGATAATAGCTTTTTGAAAAACAGTTCATGAGTACTGCTGAAATTCACTTTTGCCCTGAGAGAAATGATCCTTACAGTTACAATTGGAAATGCCAACCAGTGCAATATTGTCTGAATGCACTTTCACATTTATAAACACAAATGGCAGGAAAACTTTCTTCAAATCATCTCCAAACAGAATGACACACTTCAGATTTCCAGCACACAATATACTTAGATGCTCTGTATTAGAATTATCACAGATTTTATTTAAATTTAATTCTCATTCATCACCTGAAATCATCAGAAACTTTATTGTATTATGCAGTAAGTATCGGCCAGATACTTACTCATATCTATTTGCAATGACATAACGAAGGTGTGAAAATTAGGGAAAAAAAAACATTATTTGTTCTTCTCCATTTTCGTGACCACAACAAATATTGTAAATTTGCAGTGTTTGATTTGGAATAATTGTAACCGAGCCCATTGAGTTATATGGTATATACAAGTGAATTGAATATTAATTTTTGTCTTAAATCTCTGTAAACACTTCGATATTTTTCTTCAATAAAGTTACAATGTAAATGCAAGGTTTTTTTAAAAATCTCCTTCAGCAACAAAAATGCACTGAGGCTAGCTAATGTTAGCTCATTGATAATCTAACTTAGCTCAATAACTCACCACTTATTTGCTTGGGCTATAAAAAAAATAAATGATCTCACCTGAAATGAGTTGAAAAAAAGTTCAAAATGCATCCGTATTTCCCATGCTACTCCAGTGAAGGTATGTGGCACAGCAACAAATACGATGTAGTGCATTCCAAACACAAGCACAAGAACTAAGGTGGACTTTGCTAATTTTCTTAAGAAGAGAAATTATAGCTGGTGTTAATAAAATGATTGCAATATTACTTGAAAATCAGTCTGTTGCCACCCTAATCCTGGTAGTGGAATTGTAATCATTGTCCGTCTCTACATCTCCCCTAGAATATTTGTTTTCTTTGTCAGTAATTTTCTTTGTGTCAACAGGTCTGGCAGCATCTGTGGAGGAGAAGACAGAGTTAATGTTTCGGGTCCGGTGACCCTTCCTCAGAACTGATGGTGGCTGGGAAAACGTCAGTTTATATGCAGAAAATAGGGAGGAGGGTGGGGTAGGGAGTAAACGATAGGATAGAGCTCAAAGAGAGAGAAAGACAGTTGGACAGATAAAGGAGTTGCTAACGATCAGGCTGGGAGGGTAAATAGTTGTTAATGGGGACTGTTAGTGACTAACAACAGGGGGTGTGTAGTGGCAGGCTATATGGTAACAAGGCCTGGTGTGTGGGGTGGGGGGGCTGGGACATAGGAGAGTTTAGGCCCTAAAATTATTGAACTCAATATTGAGTCCGGAGGGCTGTAGGGTCCCGAAGCAGAAAATGAGGTGTTGTTCCTCCAGCTTGCGCTGGGCTTCACTGGAACACTGCAGCAAGCCAGAGACAGAGATGTTGGCCGGGGAGCAGGGTGGTGCATTGAAGTGGCAGGCAACAGGTCATTCAGGGTCTTTTTTGCGAGCAGAACGTAGATGTTCTGCGAAGCGGTTGCCAAGTCTATGCTTCGTTTCCCCAATGTAGAGGAGACCACATTGTGAACAGTGAATGCAGTAGACTAGATTCTGGGAAGTGCAGGTGAAGTGTTGCTTCACCTGGAAGGTATGTTTGGGCCCTTGGATACTGGGGAGGGAGGAGGTAAATGTGCAGGTGTTGCACCTTCGCCGGTTACAGGGGAAGGTGCTGTAGGGCTGTGGGGATGTGTTGGGGGTGAAGGAAGTATGGACCAGGGTGTCCCGGAGGGAACGGTCCCTACGGAAGGCGGACAAGGGAGGGGAGGGGAATATGTGTCTGGTGGTGGCATCTTGGTGGAGGTGGCGGAAATGGCGCTTCCCATCCGCTTCCAAGCTAATAGTCCCCCAACCCCGCACAGCTCGTTTCTACCTCCTGCCAAAAATCCATGAACAGGACTGTCCAGGTTGACCCATTGTTTCAGCCTGCTCATGCCCCACAGAACTCATCTCTTCCTACCTTGACTCAGTCTTCTCCCCCCGGTCCAATCCCTACCCACATACATCCATGATTCATCTGACGCCTTACGCCGGTTTCAAAACTTCCAGTTTACCGGCTCCAGCCACCTCTTCTTTACCAAGAATGTGCAATCCCTTTACACATCCATTCCCCACCAGGAGGGTCTTAGGGCTCTCCGGTTCTTCCTGGAGCAAAGACCTGAACCATTCCCACCCACCACCACCCTCCTCCGCTTGGCTGATCTTGTCCTCGCCCTCAACAACTTCTCTTTCAACTCCTCTCATTTTCTTCAGGTAAGAGGAGTTGCCATGGGCACCCGCATGGGCCCTAGTTATGCCTTCTCTTCGTGGGGTACGTGGAACATTTCTTGTTTCAGTCCTATTCCGGCCTCCACCCACAACTCTCTCTCCGATACATCGATGATATCATCGGTGCTGCTTCCCTCTCTCATCTGGAATTGGAAAACTTCATCAATTTCACCTCCAATTTCCACCCTGCCCTCACTTTCACCTGGTCTATCTCTGACTCCTCCCTTCCCTTCCTCGACATTTCTGTTTCCATTTCTGGGGATAGACTGGCCACTAATATCCATTACAAACCCACCGATTCCCACAGCTACCTGGATTATACATCCTCACACCCCACTTCCTGTAAGGACTCCATCCCATTCTTAGTTCCTCCGTCTCCGTCACATATGTTCAGATGAGGCCAACTTTGACAAGGGAGCCTCCGAAATGTCCACATTCTTCCGCAACCGAGGATTCCCCAGCTCCGTTGTCGACAGGGCCCTCAATCGGGTCCGACCCATCTCCCACACTTCTGCCCTCACCCCTTCTCTTCCCTCCCGCAACAGCGATAGGGTTCCCCTTATCCTCACCTACCATCCCACTAGCATCCACATCCAGAAGATCATCAGACGCCATTTCCGCCACCTCCAGCAAGATGCCACCACCAGACACATATTTCCCCTCCCCTCTCTTGTCCGCCTTCCGCAGGGACCGTTTCCTCCGGGACACCCTGGTCCATACTTCCTTCACCCCCAACACATCCCCACAGCCCTACGGCACCTTCCCCTGTAACCGGCGAAGGTGCAACACCTGCGCATTTACCTCCTCCCTCCCCAGTATCCAAGGGCCCAAATATACCTTCCGGGTGAAGCAACACTTCACCTGCACTTCCCAGAATCTAGTCCACTGCATTCGCTGCTCACAATGTGGTCTCCTCTACATTGGGGAAACGAAGCGTAGACTTGGTGACTGCTTTGCAGAACATCCATGTTCTGCTCACAAAAAAGACCCTGAACTACCTGTTGCCTGCCACTTCAATGCACCACCTTGTTCCCTGGCCAACATCTCTGTCTCCGCTTGCTATAGTGTTCCAGTGAAGCCCAGCGCAAGCTGGAGGAACAACACCTCATTTTCCGCTTCGGAACCCTACAGCCCTCCGGACTCAATATTGAGTTCAATAATTTTAGGGCCTAAACTCTCCTATGTCCCAGCCCCCGACCCCACACACCAGGCCTTGTTACCACATAGCCTGCCACTACACACCCCCTGTTGTTAGTCACTAACAGTCCCCATTAACAACTACTCACCCTCCCAGCCTGATCGTTAGCAACTCCTTTATCTGTCCAACTGTCTTTCTCTCTCTTTGAGCTCTATCCTATCGTTTACTCCCTACCCCACCCTCCTCCCTATTTTCTGCATATAAACTGACGTTTTCCCAGCCACCATCAGTTCTGAGGAAGGGTCACCGGACCCGAAACGTTAACTCTGTTTTCTCCTCCACAGATGCTGCCAGACCTGCTGAGCTTTTCCAGCAACTTTGTTTTTGTTCCTGATTTACAGCATCCGCAGTTCTTTTGGTTTTTATATTCTTTGTGTCCATGGTTTCAGTGGCTCATTACATTGGCATAGCACAGGTCACAGCTGGTGATTCCTTCCCCCTCAAAAGGGTTCAGTTGTTGCCAGTTACGTCTGCCACTGGTCCCAGAGACGGTGGCATGGCTATTATTGCTAAATACAATGTCAACCTACCTTCTTTCACCTTTTGCTTCCTCGTGCTCCTTCGAGCACATTTCTCTTTTCCATTCAACATCGTGATTTTCAAACTCCTCATCCCAAGCCCAAGTTTCACTGAGAACTCTCTTTGCTAAACCTAGACTTTCACTTTTTGTGACAAAACTAACAAGTGTAGTATTGAAAATCTGAAACATAAACAGAAATTGCTTCAGAAACTCAGCAGGTCTGGTAGCACCTGCGGAGAGAAAACAGAGTTCGGGTTTCGGGTCCAGTGACCTTTTCACAGAACACGAAAGCTCTTTTAAAGAAACAGCTCAGACATGACAGGTATTGTCCTTTTTCTATTTTTCTTCAGTCATCCACAGGATGTGGGCTTCAATGGCAAAGCTATCGTGTACAGCCCACAGCTAACTGCACTTGAGAAGGTGGGGGTGAGCCACCTTTTCCAAAGTAACTGAATGGATTAATAGTCCGTTTCAGTAGTCGATGTTGATCATCCTATGTTATTGGAGTTTGATACAGCTTGCTATGCATGCCACTTGTGGTCATTGGGTCTATGCATATGCCTCCCCCTTCCTGTGACTGAAGTGACTGAACACATTTCTGACACAAATTTTTGAGATGTACACACACATTGATTTCAGGGATGCAAGGTTGGTCAACCAATCATTGCGGGCAACTCAATAAGGCCTGAGAAAGATTGTGATGTGTTCACAAGCTGTTTTGCTTTACTGGATTTTCTGTGGGTCTAAGTTAAGCTTCCATTCCTTCAGGATTTTGAGATCAGGAAAGTCAAATTGATCAGGTATTGCCTGTAATCAATATGTGATGCAAAAGGCTCAAAAATAGTGTCAGAAACATGCAGAGTTACATCTAAGAGTAAGGGGGTCGCATGAGTGGGCACCCAATGACCACTAGTGATATACAGAGTTAGCTGATGATTGCAATGCTGATTTGAAACCTGTGGTGTCAATTTCAAATTCCACACTCCAACTACTGTTCTATTTTCAGTTGGCATAGCTGAAAGCATTAGGGTCAGGTCTCCCCCCATTTAAATCAGCACACATTTCAAAAAATTACACGGTTCCTACCGGGGAGCATTCCAGGCAATTAATGTGCATTGGAACATCTTCATGAAAATTTTGGGGAGGTGAGATGTCAATTTTGTAAAGTTGAGTACTTTGCATCGGTATTCACCGAGGAGAGGGACATGACAGATGTTGAGGTTAGGGATAGTTGTTTGATTACTCTAGGTCAAGTCGGCATAAGGAGGGCGGAAGTGTTGGGTATTCTAAAAGGCATTAGGGTGGACAAGTCCCCAGGTCCGGATGGGATCTATCCCAGATTACTGAGGGAAGCGAGAGAGGAAATAGCTGGGGCCTTAACAGATATCTTTGTAGCATCCTTGAGCACGCGTGAGGTCACTGAGGACTGGAGAATTGCTAATGTTGTCCCCTTGTTTAAAAAGGGTAGCAAGGATAATCCAGGTAATTATAGACCGGTGAGCCTGACATCAGTGGTGGGGAAGCTGCTGGAGAAGATACTGAGGGTTAGGATCTATTTACATTTGGAAGAAAATGGGCTTATTAGTGATAGGCAGCATGGTTTTGTGCAGGGAAGGTCATGTCTTACCAACTTGATAGAATTCTTTGAGGAAGTGACAAAGTTGATGGATGAGGGAAGGGCCGTGGATGTCATATACATGGACTTCAGTAAGGCGTTTGATAAGGTTCCCCATGGTAGGCTGATGGAGAAAGTGAAGTTGCATGGGGTCCAGAGTGTACTAGCTAGATGGATAGAGAACTGGCTGGGCAATAGGAGACAAAGAGTTGTAGTAGAAGGGAGTTTCTCAAAATGGAGAACTGTGACCAGTGGTGTTCTGGGATCCATGTTGGGACCACTGTTGTTTGTGATATACATAAATGATCTGGTAGAAGGAATAGATGGTCTGATTAGCAAGTTTGCAGATGACACTAAGATTGGTGGAGTAGCAGATAGTGAAGGGGACTGTCGGAGAATGCAGCAGTATATAGATAGATTGGAGAGTTGGGCGGAGAAATGGCAGATGGAGTTCAATCCAGGCAAATGCGAGGTGATGCATTTTGGAAGATCCAATTCAAGAGCGAACTATTCGGCAAATGGAAAAGCCATGGGGAAAATTGATGCACAGAGAGATCTGGGTGTTCAGGTCCATTGTACTCTGAAGGTGGCAACGCAGGTCGATAGAGTGGTCAAGAAGGCATACAGCATGCTTTCATTCATCGGACGGGGCATTGAATACAAGATTTGGCAGGTCATGTTCCAGTTGTATAGGACTTTGGTTCGACCACATTTGGAATACTGCGTACAGTTCTGGTCGCCACATTACCAAAAGGATGTGGGTGCTTTGGAGAGGGTGCAGAGGAGGTTCACCAGGATGTTGCCTGGTATGGAGGGTGCTAGCTATGAAGAGAGGTTGAGTAGATTAGGATTATTTACATTAGAAAGAGAGAGGTTGAGGGGGGGCCTGCTTGAGGTCTACAAAATCATGAGAGGTATAGACAGGATAAATAGCAAGAAACTTTTTCCCAGAGTGGGGGACTCAATTACTAGGCGTCATGATTTCAAGGTGAGAGGGGAAAAGTTTAAGGGAGATATGCGTGGAAAGTTCTTTCCGCAGAGGGTGGTGGGTGCCTGGAACACATTGTCAGTGGAGGTGGTAGAGGCGGGCACAATAGTGTCATTTAAGATGTATCTAGACAGATACATGAATGGGCCGGGAGCAGAGGAATATAGATCCTTGGAAAATAGGTGACAGGTTTAGATAGAGGATCTGGATCGGCGCAGGCTTGGAGGGCCGAAGGGCCTGTTCCTGTGCTGTAATTTTCTTTGTTCTTTTTCTTAACAGCAGAGAGTTGTGAATCAATTAGCAATTCTTCGTGATTCACTGTTCACATCTCTTGATTACCAGATGTTATTGTTCAATTTTCATATTCATAATGGAAAGCACAGTTCAGATGCTGTCTTTTTTTGCAAAAAATTCCAGCCCATTCTTTCAAAGTGTGAGAAACCCACGGTGCAGAAAATGCTACAAAACACAGGGAACACCTAAAATAGAGCAAACATTTTTAAATACATTCTTAAAATGAGAGTAACATTTGAGTTGTGATGGTGTGAACTTTGAATAAATGATTAAGTCCTAATTATTAACATATTATTAATCGTTAATTCCATTAGAGTGAATAATGTTTAAGCACCCTAATAAAATATCTGCTCAAGGAAGGGAAATGAAATAAGTAGCAAAATAGAAAGAAAGCGAATAAAAATGAATTTAGATTCACAAATATATGTTATGAAGAAAAAAGAAAACAATACTTGACCCAAACATCAAATAATAAATAAATGGTCAAAAAAAAACAAACAATTAAGAAGTTCTTAAATGGGGAAGATTATGAATAAAAGAGTTTCGGTTTGAAGTTTAATAAACTTTATTTTTTTTATGGGTTGGCCTATCGAAATGAGCCACAGCAACCTTCCCTATATTGATTTATAATAAACATTGATCTTTTCATTTCATTGTAAACAGCAGTGCAAGAAAGCTCTAAATGATTGCCCCAGAACTCAGTGAACTGATGTTAACACAATCCTTTGAAAAGAATACTGTATCTCAGGAATCCAAATCTGGTTTCACGTGGGGTCACAACATTATTATCAGCCAATGTTTTTTCACAGCACAGCACCTATAAAATTTATATTGTCTCACATTCTGTATTGTGTTAACTTCATACGTGCTTCTCTGGAGGGGACAGAAATGTGCCCTGCTGCCCTATTTCAGTCAATATTGCCCCTTAATCTAAGGTAATCTGCCCTCCAACTAAGCTTTCTCTGATGGCATCATATCAGCGAGTTCAGAATGCAATCTTATCACACTACAACGGTTCAAACAGTAATTTCATTTTGAAGAACACAGCAAATGTTTCTTTCATTCACATATCTCATATATATCAGTCAATAGATGTCCATACTTTAAAGAACCTTTGAGGAAAAAACAAACTCCCATCAACTTTGTATTAAAAGAGGGAACATCATATTCTTAAACTATTTCCCCTAGTTTTCATCTCCTATACAAAAGGCAACATCCTCCCAACATCCACTCTGCATTCCCTCTATGTTTCAATACGATCATCTCTCACTCTTCTAAACTGTATTGGTCTACGTGCAGTCTGTACAACCATTCTTCGTGAGATATGTCCTTCATCCTAGAAATGAGTCTCGTGAAACTTCTTAAGTATATCTTTTCAAAAAAGGAGATAAAACTACATAATACTTCAGATGTAGTCCCGGAGATAAAACTATATTATACTCCAGACGTGGTCCCACCAAAGCTCTGCATAACAGAAGTAACATTTCCTTATTGTCAAATTTAAGTTTCCTTAAAATAGATGACAACACTCCATTTGACCTTCCTAAACACTTTCCACATGCAAACGTTTTGAGATTCATGTACCAGGATAACCAGATCCCTCTACACTGCAGAGTCCTGCAATCTCACTCTATTTAAACAGTACACTGTTTTTCCATTATTTCAACAAATTGGGCAAATCCACATTTATTCACATTGTACTCCATCTGCCAATGTTTTTGTCCACTACATAAGCTGCCTATATCCCCTTTGCATACTCTCTTGACAAACTAATTTCCTTTCCATCTTAGTGTCATCAGCAAATTTAGCTGTCTTACATTTAGACTCCTCATTCAAATGATTTCTTTTTGTTGTAAATAGTGGAGGACCAAGCATTGATCCCTGTGGTAATTCATTAGTTACAGTTTACCAATTCCAAGAAAAGGACCCATTATCCTTACTCTTGGCTTCTTATGGATAATCAATGCTTTATTCATGCTAATATGTTTCCCCTTTAATCATGTGCTTTTATCTTGTGCAGCAACCTTTGATGTGGCACTTTCTCAAATGCCTTTTGGAAATCCAAATATACCACATTTATTAGTTCTCCTTTACTCACCATGAATATTACTTCATCAAAAACTGCCTGATGAAAGATGATTTGCCTTTCATAATGCCATGTTATCTCAGCCTGATCACATATAATTTTCTAAATGACATAATGTTCTTAACAATGGATTCCAGTATCTTCCCTATGACAGATGTTAAGCTGTCATGCAGGATGTAAAGCCAGAAGGTTCCAGCAATGGTGAGTACTTCTGCCATTTCTGAGATGAAGATAGCGTGAGCTGAGTGCTATAGACATGTGATGCACAGCTAATGAGGCAAGCCACACAGAACAGCGTGAGAAAACACACTAGAGCTCACAGAGAGAAATCTTTAATGAAGCTCCCCGACATTGATACATAGCCCGGTTTCTGGTAAAACTCAGCCCAGTTTCTGATGACTGAAGATGCTATAAGGAGAAATTTAAAATGTTTGGCAAAGGACTGCACCAAAATGAGGAAAAAAATTAAGCAAAGTGTGGTTATGGTTTGAAATGCCCTGCGAAATACAGCAATGGAAATAAATTCAGTCATAGCTTTCAAAAAGTTATTAGATGAATACTTGAAGAAGAAAACATTGCAGGGATATGACAATAGAGCACAGGAGCAAGTCTAAGTGGATTGTCTGTTGTTAAAATTGGCCCAGACTCAACTGACTGAACATCTTCCTTCTGTACTACGTTATGCTTTACCGAAATCGATCAACGTTCATCCAAGTTTAACCACGGATTGCTACAGCAAATTACCTGTACTGTTTTCTTGCATCATATCGCCCAGCATTTGTTTCACGAAGCTTGGTAGCCAGAACCCGAACAATATTAACAAACAAGATAAAATTTACCTGAAAAATATGAGACAGTAAAGAGTCATTAGTTTACTGACATGGTAACCATCCATCCTTCTTAGGTTGCTGAGAAGCCACTATCTTTGTGCATTGATTCATATGAATTCCTTTTTTGTAAAATAATTGCAGCAAAATTAGTAAGCATTGTTACCAATCGCATTATTTTGTTTTATAGCTATGCTCCAGGAGCTGCAGGATACAAGTTCACAGGACTATTTGCAGGAGATCAGAACACGATGCTAGCAAGTTCCTTTAAAGTAGCTGAGATAAGAGAGTGGTTGATGAAAGACTGGATTCAAAGAAAGCCATAACTTATGGGAACACAGGATCCTCACTGTCAGTTATAAGCCTGGTAAACATGTTCTCTGAACTTAGGTTGGAAAGTATTAACACAAGTTACACTGCATTAACAACCTTCATCTGGACAGCTACAGAATAGTGAATGTGAGAAATAGAATGATTCAGAATGGTTGAGCAGAATTCTGACTTTGAGGTTGAAGCACAAAAGAAAGACTCAACTCTCTAACATAGAAGCAAAGTACCGTGGATGCTGAAAATCTGAGATAAAAATAGAAAATAATGGAGAAACTCAGCAGGTCTAGCAGCATCTGTGGAGAGAGAAACAGGGTTAATGTTTCGAGTCAAATATGATTCTTACTCCCTATTTCATCAGATTTATAATTGACTGGAATGGGTTTGCTGCCAGTTTTTGATGCCAAATGTTTCATTTCCAGCACCAAAAATATTTCATCTTAGAGTGCTCCTTTGATGTGATATAGCGACTTCTGAGTCAGATGATGTAATATTCAAACACCAAATCTGTATGTTCTGTGAGTAGAATACACAGCTGTAACTTTGAATTCTGATTTGATGTCCACTGGATGTGGCTGACCTCATTGTGTAAAGAGCCGGAAATTTACTGTGCGGAAGCAGGACATTTGGGCCATTATATCCACATAGTGATCAAGTTTAGTGACTGTTGCAATGAGATTGTGATGTAGTAGTGACCTCCAGTAGTCATGTGATAAAGACTCTGCTAGAAGATTGGAACTAGAGCAGCTCTAGGCAAAGATATCTGCTGCAATATCTTCATGGATATACTGTTAATAAATACTGTTTGAAGAACAACCTTGAGCACTGGCTTGAACTTACCAGACAGATGAACCCATACAAGAATAGTCCTCACCGGCCAATAAGTAGGCATCCAGTCTAATTCCACTTTGCCTGCTTTTGCTCTGTAGCCTCGTAGGTTTTGACACTTCAGAGGTATATCCCAGTATTTTATGTTATGTGATTTCTACCATTTCAGACAGTAAGTTCCATTCCCCTACTACCTTTTGAATGAAAGCAATTCTGCTTGAATTCCTTCTAAACCTGTTCTCTCTTTTCTTAAACCTAAGCACTCTGGCTATAGATCTTTAAACCAAGGGAACTAGACCCTTGCATCCACTCCAGCGAGATCTATTGTAATTTTATGATGTTCAATGTTGTCTCCTCTCAGCCTCCTCTGCTTCTAAGAAGAAAAAAACCTTATTCAAACTTTCCTCAAAAAACAAATCCTCTGTACCCGTTCTAGTTCACTCACATCTTTCCTTGCGTACAGTGACCAGAACTGCACACAGCATTATAGCTGTGATCTAAAGAGTGTTTTACACAATTTGAACATAAGCTCCCAGCTGTTATATTTTATGCTCCAGCTAATACAAGTTAGTATCCTGTATGCCCTCTTGACTAGCCTAGCCACCTTCACGGGCTTGTAGACATGCAGATCAAGGTCTTTTTGATCCTCTTAATTACTCAGTACCCTGCCACTTATTGTGGATTCCATTGCCTTGAACACCTTCTCCAAATGTACACTTCTCATGCTCCTCTGGATTGCACAGCCCATGAAACCCCATACCGTGTAACCACACTAACAGCTAATACCAAGATGTGTATCATCATGGAAAGAACATTCATTTCACAACCTGACTTTCAGTCTTTACATCCTTCTATTACTTCTCAATATTATCCAAAAGGAGGAGCATGAAAGAATAAAATTTGCAAACTCTTAAACATAAACCTCACTCAGTCAACAATCACTTTTTAAGGTAGGAGCAAATTACTGCAGATGCTGGAATCTGTACTGTAAACAAAAAATGCTGGAGATCACAGAGGTTCAGACAGCATCCATGGAGAGAGAACAAGCTAATGTTTTGAGTCTAGATGACTCTTCATCAGAGCTGACATGAAGTTGGAGGGGGCAGTATTTATGTAATAATGGGGGAGGGGGAGGGGAGCGGTTAGGGAGGATGGAGTGCTAGGGGAGAGTGGATGTTGGTAGTTCAGATTTAGCGATCAGAATTTGAGAATGGCTGGACAACAGTATGTCTAGCTGCCAAACTGGAAAGAACAGCCAGCCCCACTGAGGTGGGGGAGGAGTGAAGGGACATTGTGACAGAGAATGTAACAAGTAAAGCTAAAAGAGAGGGAAGGAATAGGAGTGGGATTGTTTGTCCTTTCCAGTCTGGCAGTTCGACACACCATTGTTCTGCGATTCTCACATTCCAATTACTTAATCTGAACAATCAACATCTTTTCACCCCCAGCACTCCATATCACGCCCTCACTATTGCATAAATACTGCCCCCTCCACACTTCACATCAGCTCTGATGAAGAGTCATCTAGACTTGCAATGTTAGCTTGCTTTCTCTCCATGGATAAAAACCAAAAGAACTGCGGATGTTGTAAATCAGGAACAAAAACAAAGTGGCCCCATCCCCGCCTCTTCGACCTGTTTGTTTCCTCTCCACCTATCCTCTCCTCTATCCCTCTTCTATCCGCCTCCCACTCTCTCCCTATTTATTTCAAAACCCCCTTCCCCTCCCCCTTTTCTGATGAAGGGTCTAGGCCCGAAACGTCAGCCTCTCTGCTCCTATGATGCTGCTTGGCCTGCTGTGTTCATCCAGCCCTGCACCTTGTTGCTGGAAAAGCTCAGTAGGTCTGGCAGCATCCGTGGAGGAGAAAACAGAGTTAACGTTTCGGGACCGGTGAGTTCTGAGGAAGGGTCACCGGTCCCAAAACGTTAACTCTGTTTTCTCCTTCACAGATGCTGCCAGACCTGCTGAGCATTTTCAGCAACTTTGTTTTCATTCTCTCCATGGATGCTGCCTGACCCGCTGTGATCTCCAGCAATTTTTGTTTTCAATCACTTTTTAATTGTAGTTTCTTCAAAGTCATATTTTATCTGGACTTTGAACAATTTCACGGTGTCCACAAAATCTCGAAATCTCTCTTTACATCACCTCTCCTTTCCATCTACTAATATTTGCTATCAAGACCAACAAATCCATTTATTTGGCTTCAAATTAACACTTGGAGCCTCTGTAACGTGACAAGGTCTAGCCTGTACAGTGTCTACATCAAATGAAGTCTGTGTTAGTTAGCACAAAGATAATTCATAGATTAGTTATATTCTAGAGAGCCAGTTAGTGAAGGAAACAATTGGAGCTAATCTTTCCACGTGCTTATAAGGTGCCACTTATAGTTCTACATTTTAAGCAGCACCTTTCAACCCAACTACAGTTTTAGTCTGTGTTGATTTATGGGAGCACAAATTAATTCCAGTTAACCCCCAACAACTGCATGCTATTAAACAATACATACATAATTTGTGGCCTTGGGTTCTTGTGGTGTGGTGGTAATGTCCCCACCTCTGAGCAAGGAGACCTAGGTTCAAGTCTCACCTGTAATAACATCTCTAAATAGGTTGATTAGAAAATATCTGCAAGTTTCAGTCTGGAACTATTTATTTCATTCTTCAGTTTTTATGCACATTGTGTATTTAAAAAGTCTATAGATTGACTGTATATATTTTTAATCAACCCATTCAGATATGTTATAACACACATCTGGTGCAGATAGGAACTGGACCTTCTAACCCAGAGATAGGGACATTACCTCTGTGCCACAAGAGCTCTTTGTGAAAATTTCTTTTTGAAAATTGGAGCAACTCATAACTTCATTGTTCTTGTTTTATTGGATGGGTGGGGTGTTTGGGGGGAGTGGATGGAGCAGGTAAAAATAGTAGTGAGGCCAATACTGCTTCTGCTTTTAATTACTTTCAACATAGGTCCTAGTCTGTGAGTGACTAACAAGCATGAATATCCTGGGGTAAATTTCTGGGCCAATATACAACATCCAACCCAAATCTACAAATATGGGCTCAATTTGGAAATGGGTCTGGTTAGTATGTTGAAAATTAAAGTTTTCTACATGAGCAGGAGCTCAAATAACAATGAGCTATTTATGAAATACTCAAGTTCTTCAATATATCTTCACTTTAAAAAATGCTCCAAGTTCAGGAGATAAACCATCAGCTTTTATTGTTTTAAAAGAGTTGTGCGCTCCCTCTAGAATTTCAAAGATCAAAAATAACTCATTGCTATGGAAACACCAAATACTATTGCATGGAAGAAATATACTTGGATTCAGCCACCACTTTAGTGAGATAGAAAAGCAAACATAATTGCCTAGAATACTACAAAATGTTACTTTAACACCACCTTTCACAGCAGTTCAAGAGATGTTGATCATACGAGCAATTCACTTACAGTTTCTTTTCCAGCAATCAAGAGCAATTCTTAAAAAATATCTCCAAACATTCCATTGTTTTGTATGGCACAACACAGAATAATGGTTAATCACAATTCTGTGATTGTTAAGTTGATAAAGAAAGCAAGTGGCAGGAAATGTTGTGTTAGTTAACAGACATGTGACATGAATATGGTTGCCAGTGAAAATGTGTGAAATACTGATTGTAAAAAATAGAGTTCCGAATTCAACGAACTAAAATTCATGCTCAATATCTGTTTGTTTATTTTGTTCTTTTTCATCAGTTTACATTCCTTCACTCCTGTAATAAGGCAACTTGACTTGTTATACCTTTATTACAGATATTCTATTAAACCTGATTTGAAATATTATTACATACCTCTGGAGCAGGTGGGACTTCAACTCAGTCCTCATGGCTCAGAGGTAGGGGCACATCTTCATTATATTCTGTGTAAAAGTATATTTTCGTACACTCCTTATCAAGTAACTTTAATGAATTACTTTCTACTCTGTCCAAATCAGCATTAAGCCAAAGCAAAGAAAGTAATTCTTCTTTCCTGATACACAAATCATATTTTTATTAGATCACAATGATCGAGTATTTTTACGCAAAAGCTTTAAAACAAATCTACATTGTTGATTTGACAACATTTCACTCCACTCTGCAAATTCTCTCTCTTTTTAAATTAATTTGCAGAATGTGGGCGTGACTGGCCAGGCAGCATTTATTGCCCATCCCAGAGGGCACTTAAGTGGCAACCACATTACTGTGGGTCTGGACTCACATGTGGCTCAGGATGGCAGTTTCCATCCCTAAAATACACCAGTGAATCAGATGATTTTTCCTGACAATCAACAATGCTTTCATGGCTATCAATAGACTCCAAATTCCAGATATTTATTGCCATGGCAGGATACAAACCTGGCTTCCCAGAATATTACCCGGATTAACAATTTGGGATAATATCACTGAGCCATCACCTCCCCTTAGATTCCTCTGATCTGTCAAACCTGTGATAGGAAAAGATTAAAGTGCACACTTACCACAATAGCTATTAAAATTGGTGTTTGATAAATCCAATTGAAGTTGCCCACGTTTAGATCCCAGCAGCTTTGTCACAGAAAGAAAGAAAAAGAATTTTAATGCAAGCAAAGTTTTAATTCTTTGCGTCTGAAAGTGCCGGAATTTCTTCACGATGCAGCATATTTTTGCTGTAGTCATTTAGTAGTCATTTAGTTTCCCAGCTTTACATGTAGTTGAACTAGAGATAATAACAAGTATTGAACTGATACATCAGAACAAAAGAGAATAAACAAAAACTAAGGAAAAATAGAGGTGCTCACTTGGCACATGTCTAGCCACATAATCCTCAGTCATCTCCTTCCATTCTAACCTATTTCTAAAAACAAGCTGTCACACGATCTCCTTGTTTTCACCATTCCCCGCAGCTAATTTACTTGCCCATCCACTGGGCAACTGAGTGACTGCACTTAAACAAGTTCTTCTCTTCCTGTAATGCAGGTGACATTTAACAGGGTTCAAGTACATTTTCATGATGTTCCTGATCTCCAGCCAGGGTTATGAATACTGGTCGACCGGATTTTGCTCCAGTTGCCTGCCAGCTTATAGTTGATGGTAGCAATTGCTAACAAGACACAATCTGACAGACTTCACAGTGCTTAGAATATTGCTGTAACTATTATGGCAATACTAAGCCTATCTAATGAAAGGAGCATCAGTTAGATGAGGAGCAGTTCATACTGAACATTCAACCCTTTACAAAGTATATTCTTGAAATAACGTGGTTCAACATTTACTGTTCGGTAACTTTTCAAGCAGTGCATAAAAATGATCCTTGTGCATTTACCACATAAACACACTTTTATTCGAAACCTCAGTTTAAATCTATGAAACAAAGAGTTAATGAGAAACATAATTTTTTAATGGCTACAGCAGCAAGCTAATTAGAAGCCCGCTAAGTTTATACTCTAGAGGGTAGTTGCTTTATTAGAAGAAATTAATATGCTGCATTAGTTCACTTATTAATTGAATTGTTCTTCATATTACCAGCAAGATTGCCAACATTCTTACATTTAGAAGTTGATTGTTATAAGAATGAGGGGAATCTGATAGAAATCTATAAAATTCTAACAGGGCTAGACAGGGTGAATGCAGGAAGGATGTTTCTGATGGTTGTGGAATCCAGAACCAGGGGTCATTGTTTAAGGTTAAGGGGTAAACCTTTTAGGACTGAGATGAGTAGAAAATTCTTCACCCAGACAGTGGTGAGCCTGTGGAATTCACTGCCACAGAAAGCAGTTGAGGACAAAACTTCATATATTTTCAAAAAGGAGGCAGATATTGCTCTTGCAGCTAAAGGAATCATGGATATGGAGGTGTGATGGCATGAGGATATTGAACTTGATGACCAGCCATGATCATATTAAAAGATGGAGCAACCTGAAGGGGTCGAATGGCCTATTCCTGTTTCTAGTTTCTATTTTCTATAATTGGTGAATGAATAACTTTAATTATATCTTAAAATACAACTGGGCAGCAACCCTACTCAAAAACCTTCTCATGTGAATGAGAACTTGATCTAAAACATGGGACATTATTTTGAAGCCCACGTTAAATATGGTGGGATTTTTTTTTGCCAATATTGAGGTTCATAAATTGAAAGGATAGCAAATGGTAACATCACTGTTTGTGGTGAAAGGCAGTAATGCTGCCTGATATCAAATTTTCTCCATGTATTGGCAACTGAGAGAAGAAAATCAAACTATTACTGAAATGCATTACTTTACCAAATTTTTTTTTTGAAAAAAAGCCATCAAAAATTAAAGAAGTGATTTTGTCACCTTTCATCAGCCAATACTGCTCTCACAATGGCCCAAGCTGCAACAAAGACTGCTGGAACTCCTGGAATGGAAACAGAACTCATCATTTCTATTGGAGTAAGATTGATTCATTCCTCATCATTTCTCAAGGCATATTGTATGTCATTCAGTCATAAGCCTTTGAACCAATGCCTTTTTATTATTTGCTTTATGTATTATTGAATATAAATGGAATATACTTTGAGAAATTTGATGAAAAGTTGCTAATTTTACAGAACATAGATGCCACAAATCCAATTGAAGTTGCCCACGTTTAGGTCCCAGCAGCTTTGCCATAGAAAGAAAGAAAAAATGTATTTTAATACAATTCTTGGTTTCTGATAGTGCCTGAATTTCTTCACGGTATAGCAAAAGACTCTAATAATCATTTGGTTACCCAGCTTTACTTGTAGTTTAACTAGAGATAATAACAAGTATTGAACTGATACATCAGAACAAAAAAGAATAAACAATAGCTAAGGAAAATAAAGGCACCCACTTGGCCACATGTCTAATCACATAATCCTCAGCCATCTCCTTCCTCCTTCCATTCTAACTTATTTCTACAAACAAGCTCTCACATGATCTCAGAGATAGTAGGAACTGCCGATGCTGGCGTCTTAGATAACAAGGTGTAGAGCTGGATGAACATAGCAGGCCGGGCAGCTTCTTCAGAAAGTGGTCCAGACCCGAAACATCAGCTTTCCTGCTCCTCTGATGCTGCCTGGCCTGTTGTGTTCATCCAGCTCTACACTTTGTTATCTCACATGATCTCCTTGGTTTTTCCATTCCCCATGGCTAACACACCAGCCCATGCACTGGCAAATGAGTGTCTGCACTTGCACAAGTTCTTCTCTTCCTGCAATGCAGATGACATTTGACAGAGCACAATTGTGTTTTCATTATGTTCTGTTTTTCTATCAAAATCATCAGAATTTTATGGACACTTCGATTTAGAGTTTTGTAGTGCCGAAAATGCGCCTGGGGATCCGCATCCGGAAACAGATCCCATTTTCGGTGGTAACAATCATGATGTGACTCACATGGAGGAAATTCAAACTCAGCAGGGTCACTTAAGCTCATTTGTGTGTTTAAAGGGACCCCATTTTCACTGGAGCAGGGGCTTGATCCTGAAGTGTGAGTGTTACCTTTGGAGTCAATGTAAATGCTTGTAAAAGAAGCATAAAGCACTGTTGGAATGTCAACTTATTAAAATTCAATGCCTTCAAATTTTGAAGTGAAACTGGCAAGCTGTGTCTGAGAGTTGACAAAAATCTGTGCTTGCAGTTTCAGCAGACGTTTGTTGACATAACCCTAAGTGCTGAAGTGCTTCTTTTAAAGTGCTATTACTGCTTGACTGCGTCCATTATTTTACATTCGCATAATTGCGGGGTGTGAGTTAGGGGGAGATGTGTTAGTTGTCTGAAATTTTACAAGTTGATTGACACCTTCAAATGATTATTAAAGGGCTGGAATTTTTGATGCGTAGTAATGAATACATGATTGTTTTAATACATATTGGGCTTGAGGAAATTGTAATGCATTGTGTGGGCTTTGACGAATGTATGTTCTTTTTAATATAGTGAAGTCTGTAACAGATACACAGAATGTTATTATAATCTCAGTATGGTACCTGAGGTTGACTTAGGTGACTTGGGAGAGAAAATAGAAGGGCAAATGATGGAAGGTGGTAAGTTGGCATCAAGCCTGCTAAGGGCTATAAGGCTATGACACCTCCAATCCACATCTGGGAGTGCGGAGGATGACTCTAGCACAAATCCATCCCACTGAGGCATGCTGACTCTCAGATTAAACTTGCTGCCAGTCATCTGCCTCTACTGAGAGATCAGCCTATGACCCTCCGGGACTATGGCAACTTTCACCTTCCACAAGGCTGAATATTCTGCAAACAACATCTTGGGCATTACCACAAACAAGAAAACTCCTGCCATATAAATCCTGTGACCACAAGAGCAGGTTTGACATTGGGAATTATGCTGTGACAATCTCACCTCCTGACTCTGTAAAGCTTCTCCACTATTTATAAGGCACAAGTCAGAACCATCATGAAATACTCCCCACTTTCCTCAATGAATGCAACTCCAACAATACTCAAAACACTTGGCAATATCGTGGACTAAGTAACATGCTTGATCAGCACTTAGGCACGAGTCCATTCACACTCTCTACCATAGACCCATTGGGTCGACAGTGTAAATCATATAAAAGATACACTACAGCAGCTTGGCAATGCACCTTCAACTGTGCATTCCAAATGTATGATGTGTACAATCCAAAAGTACAGGATAACAGGAAAACTATATGAAAGTTCCTGTCCTAGCCACCATAATTCTGACTTGTAACTATGTCAATACTCCTTTACTGTCACTGGGTCAAATGCTGAATTTCCTACCTTACAACATTATGGGTGAACCAAAACAGCATGGGTTACCCCCACCTTCTCAAGGGCACTTAGGGATGGGCAATGAATGTTGGTCTTGATGTCCAAGCTCCATGCTTGATTAAAGAAAACTGACATGCTACATCAGGCTGTGTATCGAAACTCTACAGCACGATCAGATATCACTTCCGGTTATGTAAGTGAAAACCAGTTGCTTCCCCAAAAGGGAAAGATCAAAATACCAAGTAATAATAATAGCTTCAGCAGTGCAACCTCTTTCCTTCCTTTTATATTTTTGTTTAAACAGAAGATTTTAGTGCCTTACCCCATCCAATGAAGGTAAAAGTCCATAGATATTTTCTGTCAGACAGGAAGGCCATCAGTATGAGACAGTGTAAATAAAGGCCTTCCACTAGAATCCAGTAGTAGTTTGTAGCCAAGAAATACAGAAACACTATGACAGCAATCTTGCATCCCACCTGTTACATATGAATATGTTAACATTAGAAATTACATTTACTTCAAAGAATTCACATTAACTTTACAGACTATGCACTTTGTTTTAAATCTCCATGTCACCTGACAAGCCAGAATGTGGACAGAGTTTAGTAAGATTTCAGCCACACTTGGTGAATTGATTTGGGGATTGACTCCAAGGAATTCCAGATCAGAGTCAATTTTATAAAACTTTATTGTTGGAATGTGGTTGTTGATATCATTTCCCATTTCCTGTTACTCCCCCATGAAATGAACCATTGCAGCCTGCATGGTATCATTTATAATGAAAATGATACAATTAGGTAGCTTGCTAGGCTATTTCAGAGAGCCTTTTAGAGTCAACCATATTGATGTAGGATCCACGTCATACTTAAGGCAGTCTACATAAGGATTACTTCCTTTAGGAATATTAATGACCCAAACCTATTGCTCCATGATCACTTTAATTGATCCAGCTTTTAGTTGCCTAATATTATTTGAATCAGCATTTTTCTAAAGGCTACGATTGTATCTTCAAGAAAACTTTAATAAGTTCTAAACTAAGGCTAACTCAGTAGGGTTTTCAATTTGATTGACAGCTCAAAAAGACTGTTAAAGGATCGGACGGCATGAATAGAGATAGTTTGTTTTTAAAATAGATTAACTACTCTTGATTGAAAAGGTTTAAATGGGTTTTCACGAATGAGAGTTTGTTTTCATATAGTGAATGTTACGTTATATATACAGATCTTTAATTTATTTTGTCTAATGTTGGCTTCTGAGGTCTGCCCACAGTGGATTCTGCAGCGAGTTGACATGGAAGATATAAGAGCCAAGGGAGATGTTATGATCCCACTTGATGTTATTACTGGATGAGTCAGATCCAAGACAGAAACTTTGCTTGATGTATAATACTTTGATTTTTCTTTTGGTTTTGACAAAGTGGTCCCACTGAAGCATAAGCATGCAGTGCTGCAGATTTTGCTTCAAACAAAAGAAATCAAGATAACAGAATAATCCAAACTATCTACTTATGATACAAATTCAAGGACTCTTGAATACACAGCAAAAGCATAATCCAATTAATTCCAAAACATTCCTTTATAAACTGAAAAGAAAGAAAACGGTATTTGTATTGTACCCAAAACACACCCCTGATACAGTACTCAAAATACTGCTTCAACAATACTCACACCAGCGTTGTTGTACCTAATGTCTCAGCAGTTTTAACCACTTGACTTCAACTCCTAGACGAGACAGCTTCTAACTGGAGCTGCCATATACCTCCTGAGCTTCAACATACACAGCTTTAAGTTATCTCTTCAGGGTTTTATCTTAACACTTATGATTTGGGAGTAACACAATGACTCCTTACTCGAAGGTATTCTCGTTCTCAAATATCCTTCCCATCTCGGGAGCATCAGTCTACACCTCCATTCTATTCCAAAGACTTCACAGGTCTATCCTAATCAAACCAAACTAAAAGTTTCCTTCTATAAGCAATGGATATTTCCCTTAACTTAAAAAAAACTAAGAATTCTCTAAGAAACCTTGAGGTCCCATTACTTCACTTGCTGAGTTGCAAAGCAGTCAAAAATAAACAAAATTTCATTAGTGACGCACAAGACTTATATACTCTGAAACTGAGCCTCAAAAAAAGTTTTAGATCAGCATGGTTGCAGAAATTCAAGTTAATTATTACCTTCAGACGCACATAAAAAAAGCCAGTTATGAACTCAAAACCCCGAAAGCCAACTCACACCAAACACAATACAGTCTTATGTGTAAATCCCACAGTTTACATCACACTGTAAAGCCCATCTTATGGCCATATGTTACCTCATATATCTCACATAGACTCCATTGGAAACAGCACACGTGTGTTTTTAGATTGGTCTAAGATCTAATGGATCTTCGAAGAGGATGCTGCTGGTGTGATGGAACTATGCACTGAACCAAAAACATGGTTTTCCACTGTAGCACAATGCGATTGTATCTCTATCAAATCCAAGTACACACTATCTATTGCTTTTACTGGAGAACTTTGGGATTTACAGAACAATTTTAACACTAATGTCATGTTTTGTATGAAGGACAGCTTCACCAGTTTATTATCCTGCACAAACAAGAAATTGATCGCAATTGTGACAGATACTTATGTTTAAAATATAAAATGGTGGAGTGCCTTAAACAAAGAATATTTCCCCAGACCTTTTTCGACTCTTATTGAAGGGATTTTCATAGATGCCAAGAATCTCTGCTTACAGTCTACAGTAATACACAGATGTTAATTTTCAGTAGCATTATCTCAGTAATCTCATCTGCCTTTATTGGTACTGGATGATTAAGACAATACCAAGTAAAAAATTAGCAACAATAATGTGTATTTATCTAGTGCCTTAAAGCATTCAAGGTATTTTAATAGGCACATTATAAAATGAAATATGACCAAATCCAATAAAAAGATACTAGATCAGATAACCAAAAACATGATCAGAGGTGAGTTTTAAGTAGCATTCTAAAGGAATAAAGCAGAGACAGAGAGATGTATAAGGAGGATATTCCACAGCCCTGGGCCAAAGCCACCGAAGTGGTAGCTGTTACGTTTAGATTTATTTGCTATATATCTTATTTATCTCATAGAAATGCAGAAATGATTTTAATTCTAAACAGTTTATTTACAGAACTTTAAAATATCTTCGAATTTAGAAGGGCCTAAACACACACACTGTCACAATTCAAAGCCCAAATCCTTTTTGGAACTCCGTCAGTCTGATGTCAGTACTCAATCCTTTAGCTCCACCCATAGGCTTAAACAATCAAGTACAATTAACACAGATCAGTGAATATGCTAACATAATCGAATGCAGAACAAGTGAACCTTTGAATACTACTGCGGCCACCAGAGGAGCGGTGATTAGGGTTGAAGTGCTCAGGGAGACAGGATTAGATGAGTGAAGATAACTTGAAGGGTTACAGAACAGAGGTCATTACAGAGATAGGGAGAGTTGACACCTCAGAGCGACCTGAAAGCAAGAATGAGGATTTTAAAGTCAAGAAGTTGCTTGCTCAAGAACCAATAAGTCAAGGAGCCAGTTTAGATCATAAGATGTAGAAGTAGAATTGTAGAAGACCAGGTTGGAGTGCGATTGAATAGTTAAGTCTAGAAATAATAAAGACAGGAATGAGGGTTCCAACAGCTGATGAGCTGAGGGTGGGGCTGTCAGGTGATGTTACTGAGGGGGAAATATTTGTTTTCCATGATGGTGTGAAAAAGGATCTTTCTTTTTTTCTTTGTTCTTTCATGGATGGGGACATTGTTGTCAAGGCCAGCATTTGTTGCTAATTGCTGATTGTCCTTGAACTGAGGACTGTTAATAATCAACTATATTCCGGTGCGTCTGGAACCACATGTAGGCCAGACCACATAAAGACAGGAGAATTCCTACCCCAAACAGCAATGGTGAACCAGAAGAAATATAAAACCAAGGTTAGAAACAGACTGGTTTGGTCCTATCTAAAATCAAAATGTTGTAGATGGTGGAAATCCGAAATAAAAATAAAGTACTGGAGAAACTCAACAGTCTGGCAGCAACTGTGAAGAGAGAAACAGAGTTAACAATTCAAGTCCAATAATACTAAGTTCTGAAGAAGAGTAATGTCTGAGTCCTTTCTGTTTTCACTTCTGATTTAGTCAGCGATTCGTGTCAGGAAGAAGGATTGAGTCTGTATTTAGGGAATAAAATTTGCAGCAGGGGCCAAAAGCAATTGTCCAGTTTTTGGAATGTTTAATTGGAAGGAATTTCTGTTCATCCAGTATTGGAAGTTGGAATTTCTTCTTCTGTGCTCTTAAAACACAAACTCCTTTTCTGAAATGTTAAATTTTATTTCTTTCTGAAACAGTTTAATTGCCAAGATAATGGATTGAATAGAAGCTCAGTATTGTCGTAGTTCTGTTGATGAACAGCTAATATAACGAAACTATAGTACTTCAATAGTATGATCTACCTACTGCGCTATATCAAGAAGCAAATAGATCCAAATAGATATTATTTACCAGTTGTCTTTGACACACAGAGCCATACAGCACAGAAACATACCCTTTGGTCCAACTAGTCCAAGCTGAACATAATCCCAAACCAAACTAAACTAGCCTGCTCCTGGTCCATGTCCCTCCAAACCTTTTGTATTCGAGTGTATTTTAAATGTTGTAATTGTACCCACATCTACCACTTCTTTAGGAAGTTCATTCCACACACGAACCACCCTCTATGTAAAAAAGTTGCCCCTCATGTCTTTTTTAAATCTCTCTCATTTCACCTTAAAAATGTGCCCTTAGTCTTGAAATTCCCCATACTAGGGAAAAGACACCTATCATTAACCCTATCCATACCCCTCATGATTTTATAAATATCTATAAGACCACCTCTCAACCTCCCACACTCCAGTGGAAAAAGTCCCAGCTTTTCCAGCCTTTCTTTATAATTCAAACCTTCTATACCCGGCAAAGTCCTGGAAAATCTCTTTTGAACCCTCTCCAGCTTAATAATATCCTTCCTATAACTGGTTGACCAGAACTGGACAGTACGCAAGCAGAGGCATCACCAATGGTCAGTAAACTATACCACCTCAACCAAGCCAACCTGCAGCTATAAATCAGGGCAAGGATGGTGCTGCCAGTAGCTACAAAGATCACTATGACTTTCAATTTCTAACCTTCAGAGTTCTTCCAGGCTGAAGAGATACTGCCAGCATCTCAGAGATAGCAAGAACTGCAGATGCTGGAGTCAGAGATAACATATTGTGGAGCCGGAGGGACACAGCAGGCCAGGCAGCATCAGAGGAATGGAAAAGTTGACGTTTTGGGTTGGGACCCTTCTTCGGAAACCCTGCTAGTCCCGACCCGAAATGTCAACTTTCCTGCTCCTCTGATGCTGTTACCAGCATCTCTGTCTGTTGTGCAACCACATCCCTAAGCAGATAGAAGCAGAAGGTGACTTTAGCACAGTGACGAGTTACCCAATGGTGCACATGCCATAGACAGAAAATTGACAGAATATTTTCCATGTGCCACATCTCAACAGGAAGATGTGTCAGAACGACAAGAGACTCACGTTGAACACACGTTTGAAATGATGCTCTCTATCTTGGCAACAGATACATGCTTTTATTCTGTCTAGCTATGTGTATGTGCTGCCTTGAATCCATCCCTTTGAACCAGGCGGTGGTTGCTACATTATGGAAGAGGTCACACTGTAGTACAGTTCAGCTGTAGCCTCGAGTCTGGCCTCACTCGTGGGAACATTCCAGTGCAGATTTATGAAGATGGTGCTATGGAGAAGCACAGATTATGATCATCTTTCCAACTATTTCCTTCTGCAATTTTGTCGCCAAAGATGACAGATTTCCTTCAATTGTCTGCTCCCCAATATATTTTATTCATTTTCAAAACTGGTTCCCATCCACTATGTACCTGTCCAACTTAGCATACATTTTACGATCAAACAGTTAAAGTGAATGGCACGGGAAATTTGAGCGCTAAGGCACTTTAACCGTGTAGAACTGATGTCTTCCAATAGATGAAAATCGGGCTCCTGTATTTTAAAGCCTTTTAAAAAGCAAAGAGACTGACATTTCAGGTCAAACCTTTCATCAAAACTGATAGAAATGTACTTACGTTACGGAACTTCTCTACTATAGGGGCAACTGTGATGGTTGTCAGATCATCCACTGAAAGAGAATCATACTCCTGCATTTTGAAATCAGAATGCACAACATTGTCTTTGATGAAAATACTGAGTGCCCTCAGTATGAAGGAGACAAACAAGTGCATGTGGATATAATTCCGAGTGCAATGGAGTCTTCTGTTAGGGAGAAAAAATTGAATGTGAGGCATATTACAATCAGTATCCTTCAATCACTTCACTATTCTGTAATAAACAAACTGTAACAATTGTGAATTCACATAAATACTTTGCAATTTTTTTTAAAGCAAGCTCCAGCTATTGATTCATTTGTCTTTTTGGGGCATAAGTTGTTAGATTTCTACAGAAAGCCATGGCTTATTTCAGAAGTGTCTATTTATGGACTATATTTGCGTCAATTTGTATGATGTATTGGTGTGGAGGTACAGGCCAGTGTGTTGAACATATGTAAACTGGGTAAGTGTAGGCTTGTTTGTGGTACCAAATTCTAGTATTTGCAGTTTTTTTCACTTCTGGTTTTTGTTACCTTTCAATGAATATGAAATAGTTTTTAAAACTGTCACTTTAAATGAAATTGCAATATTTGAGAATATACTGCCTCAAAACATCGGTTTGATTCTAGCCTCAGGTGACTGTCTGTGTGGAGTTTGCACTTTCTCCCCGTATCTGTGTGGGTTTCATCTGGGTGTTCTAGCTTCCTCCCGCAGTTCAAAGACATGCAGGTTAGGTGGATTGACCATGCTACATTGCCCCATAGTGTCCAGGGTTGTGTAGGCAAGGTGGATTAATTGTTGTAAATGCAGGGTTAAGGGGATTGGGTCTGGGTGGGATGCTGTTCAGAGGATTGGTGCAGATGTGATGGGCCAAATGGCCTCTATCTGCACTGTAGGTACTCTACTGTTTTGAATCCAGATCATACAGTTGAAGATGTACATGATTTCAGCAGTATACCTAAATCTCTTGTTGAATATGTATGTTGGAAAGGTACTTTTTATCATGTACTCTCTAGATTTGCACTCATCCAAAATTATATGAGACATGTCATAATTTGTATCAAGTCCACATCAATGGCCTATATTGACAATCAGTCTGACAATGTCCCATTTTTAAAATATTTGTCCTTGTCTCAAATTATTTTGTTGCCTCACCTCTCCCCTATTATCTTTGTAATCTCTTCCAGTTCTAGAAAACTCTTAGACTCTGTATCCTCCAATTCTGGCCTCTCATGCAACCTGATTTTAATTGCCATAGCTTGTCCCACCTTCAGTTGATTTGGTTCTAAGCTCTGGAATTCACTCTCTAAACATCACTGTTTCTCTGTCTTGCTTTCTTCCCTTAAAACAATCTTTACGACCTATCTCTTTGATCAATTCTCCAACCATACATCCCATTATTTCCTTAAACAGGTCATGTTGAATTGTGTTTGAAACATGCCAGTGAAATGCCTTGGGATGCACAACTATGTTAAAAGTGTTATGTACATGTAAGATCTTTTTTGGCTTTGTTTTAGCATCTTTTGGTCAAATAACAAATAATAGCATTGGGATTAACAGGCACTTCTGCTGCTATATGAACTGTGCTGGTGATATCTATAAGGAATAGATTTGAAGCAGTTCATCCAGTTTTTTCACATTGGGTTTCTGGCAAAATTATCCATAGTTTTCATTTTTAAAAGTTTTAGCTGAAGAAACAGAGAAAGTGGATTAGACTACATATTTCAATTCCTGCATTCCTATTGCAATAATGGAAAGAAACTTAAGTTACGTTGTAATATCGACTATCTATTTTTATCTAATTATTTATTTTCCTGCTCACTGCATTTTTTCTTCTTGAGTCTTCTGTCCTGTTTGTTTTCTATTTTCTTAATCATCATGAGTGTATGGTTATAATATTATAAATCTGAAAACCGAAATCTGTAAACTCCCTTTAACAATAGATACAAAGGATCTCTTAAACATGGCTCCAAAAATCATTTGACTTCTCTGGTGGATATGGTTGCAATTAAAACCACGCTTTACTTATCTCAAGCAGGACGACAAGAGACATTTGAAATTCAATAATTATTTCCACAGAGGGAAACAGAAACCCTCTGAGAATGTGAATATCCCTTTCGAGCCTCACCAAGAGAGAATAGGAGCGATCCAAGTTAATAGCTGAGACAATTAAAAAACTAATTATCTCAGCAAAAAGATAATGCATGGACTATGCTCCAGACCTGGGCTAAGTGGTACCTAATTTTGAGACACACTTTCACAATTTAGGATAGCAGCTATATTGAATTTTTAACTATAAAAGCCTGGCTAGAATTATCATTTTGTGCAAGAGTTTAAAATGAATCTATGGAGACAGCTCCTGATAGAACTCTCAGCTGAATTAATGTGAACAGCGTGTAAGCATTGGCTTTTGCCTCCGACGCTGTGATTTATAGGGTGGGACAAAAAAAAATCCCCTTGACTTTCTTCTTTTCTGTATTTTGTTCATTCGCTCTTTTATTTCCCTGTAATTCTACACTTTCTTAGACCCTGCTATTTTGTGCTGTCATCGAAATAGTCACTGTACTTCCTGTAGAATTTCTCGAGAATTGAACAAATCCCCTACAATAAATTGTACCACATGCTCATTATCAGTCTTCATCCAGCTCTAATGGTTCTCAGTAATTCTAAAGGATCAACGTTCCAATCCTTCTCTTTGTTTTTAAATACTTTCTCAGTCCCACCCTACTTGAAAAACCTTCTACTGCAATCTCTGCCAATCTGCATCTTCTGTTGCCATGACTCTGGAATATGACACATTTCCCATCTGTGTCACTCTCATTAGGTTGTAATCTCTGATGTTTTTGTCCTTTATTTCAAAACCAGTTTACCTTCCTATCTTGAATTTCTGCCTTCACAGGTTTCCTGAAATGTTCCCTTCAGCAATGCTTTCCTGTCCTTTATCAAGTGCATGGATGTTTATTTGCCTTCCTATATAGTGTATGTTGGCATTATTTCACCATACAAGCCTTCACTCACCTTATTCCATCTCACAATAACAATATCTTATTTCCATCCTCGTCAACTTGCCTAATTTGCCCTTCAGCCAGAGGGTGATGAATCTATGGAATTCACTGTCACAGAAGGCTGTGGAGGCCAGGTCATTTAAATTTAAGATAAACATAGATAGGTCCTTGATTGACCTAGGGGATCAAGGGTTACATGAAGAAAGCGGGAGAATGGGGCTGAGAAACTTATCAGCCATGATTGCATGGCAGAGCAGACTCGATGGGCCGAATGGCCTAATTTCTGCTCCTGTGTCTTATGGTATTATGGTCTAAATTTTAGTTACTTCAACCACTCCATGTGCTAACAAGTTCTAGATTCTTAATGCTGCCTGAGTAAATACTTTTCTCCTGCATTCGTTTTTTAGGATTTACTAGTGATTTCCTTTCATCTAGGGCCCTTAGCTGTGGATTACCACAAAGGAAATTCTTCATCTTCATCTGCACTATCAAATTCATTCATAATGTTAAAAATACTCAATATGCCAGCTCTCAGCCTTTTTTTTTGCCTACGGAGAAAAGGATCCGTCTGCTTGGTGTTCCCTGATCATTATAATGACTCAATTCTAGTATCACCCTCATACAAATAGTAGGAAGCTCAGTAGTCTCCATAATGGCTCACCAGAAATCCTTTGTCCTTACATGTTTTTGGCTTGAAAAACTCGGCTCCCTCACATGCATACATAATTGAAATGAGAGGATCCTAGTGATGCTAATTCAACATATTTGGATGGTCAGGCTCTTCATCGCGGTTCTCTTAATAATGTTATGCAGCAGATTGCTCAGTGAATTATTTCTACTAGCCAGAAATGATTATAGTCATTTGTAATCAATTGTTTAGATATGGTATGAGTCACTTCTGGAGGAAGTGGAATTTGAGCCCAGACATTTGTGGGTCACTCCACTGCACCTCAAAAGTGCCAAAATGAATTATATACTAGGTGAAGCATCTCTCCTGACCAAGTTCAACATTATACAAAGGTTAATTTTCTTAGACTTCTTACTGTGTTGTTGTAGGTTAGTTGGAAACCCCAGTTAACTATAAACTGCTGGACATCTGCTAACATTCTTGCAGGTGCAATTGTTGAAAGTCTGAGGAAATTTAGCATGTATATACACATCGTGCTATAAAAAGGATATTGTTAAACTAGAAATGGCACTGAAAAAATTTACAAGGATGTTGCTGGGATTAGAGGGTTTGAGTTATAAGGAGACCTGGGATGTTTTTCCTTGGAGGACCAGAGGCTGAGGGGTAACCTTATAGAGGTAAATAAAATCATGAGAGGCATCGATAAGGTGAATAGCCAAGATCTTTTCCTAAGGGTAGGCAATCCAAAATTAGAGGACATAGGTTTCAGGTGAGTGGGGAAAGATTTAAAATGGACATGAGGGGCAACATTTTCACACAGAGGGTAGTGCGTGTATGAAACGAGCTGCCAGAGGAAGTGGTAGAGGATGGGTACAATTACAACATTTAAAAGACATTTGGACAGGTCCATGAATAGAAAAAGTTTAGAGGGATATGGGCCGAATACAGGCAAATGGGAATAGTTCGGTTTAGAATACCTGGTCGGCATGGACAAGTTGGACTGAAGGGTCTGTTTTCGTGCTGTATGACTCCATGACTCTACGATTCTAAAAATGTAATTAAAAGAACACAAATAGGCTATTTAAATATTCATTGGGAATTTCACAGTACTTCAATCAACGCAGTAAATTTGTCTGGTTTTATCTGGTTAGTATTGGAATCATAAGACCCAAGAACAATACAGTCTCTGGTTTGTGCTTAAGCACGTGTCCTCCCATAATTGGCCTCAGGGAAGACAATACTATCAGGGATCCCAGACATGATTGCTATCCCGTTTCCCCTACTACAAATGCATGTGCATGGAGATAACAACATGCTGCAGCATGCCTGTGTTTGTCCTGCAACCTTTGAACACACGCTACCAGGATACACATGATGAGCATTTGTTATCATACTCTAGTGCAGAATCAACACTTTCAAAATGGTAGTTCTTTTTTAAAATCTGAAACCTCGTAATTGTTCATATTCAATTATTTACTTTTACAAAATTATTAACATGACACAATATAGATGAGTCCCACTTTTAAATGTATC